GCCGCCGCCGCCGCCCCGCGCCCGGGCACCATGCTGCCCTCGCAGGAGGCCTCCAAGCTCTACCACGAGCACTACATGCGGAACTCGCGGGCCATCGGCGTGCTATGGGCCATCTTCACCATCTGCTTCGCCATCATCAACGTTGTGGTCTTCATTCAGCCCTATTGGGTGGGCGACAGCGTGAGCACCCCCAAACCTGGCTACTTCGGTCTCTTCCACTACTGTGTGGGCAGCGGGCTGGCGGGCCGCGAGCTCATCTGCCGAGGCTCGTTCACCGACTTCAGCACCATCCCGTCCGGCGCCTTCAAGGCGGCCGCCTTCTTCGTGCTGCTCTCCATGGTGCTGATCCTCGGCTGCATCACCTGCTTTGCGCTTTTCTTCTTCTGCAACACGGCCACGGTCTACAAGATCTGCGCCTGGATGCAGCTCTTGGCAGGTAGGGAAGGGGCGGGGCTGGGACCCCCTAGAACAGGCGCAAGGGACAGGGGCTTCTTTCTTCTGGGTCCCCTTCTTGGGAGAGTCAAAGATGGAGTCTGCTCCTCTGCCTGAAGACACACCTCCTAACTGACCCTTAGCAACCACTGAGGGGTTCTAAGAGAAACATTCCGGGCAGGGACAGGGCCTTTGCATTGCATCTTTGAGTCTGAGTGCTCGTCTGTGGAGAGACTGCATTTACTGATGGGTTAGCATTATCTGGGAGTCCCTTTTGGCTCTTTTGGGGGGAAAGAATGATGGGAATGAGGAGTTAGTATAGGTGTGAACAATGTTGGTTATATTTTTTAAAAAAAACATGAGACGAGGAATTGAGAACTGACCTTGACCTTTAACTGCTGACATTATTAAGTTGGCGTTGCACTTTACTCATCTGTCAGGCAGTGGAGGCCAAGAACAAGTGAAAGAGTATCTTATACACTTTAAAGTGCTGTGATAAGATTAGGGACAGGAGGAGGCTGTCTGTAGTGTCCACCCAATGTTTGACCTGTGGGTGGTCTGGACAGCACCTAGCAGCACGGGTCCGCAGAGGGCAGGTAGGGTTCTGGCACCGTGCCCAACAGGAAAGAGTCCCTGGGGTCCTGGGATGAGTTTGGCTAAGACAGACACCTTGCCCTAAGACCCAGTGAAGGGCTTCTGGGATGAGAACTGCTGAAACAGGTTTCCAGTATCCATTAGAGCCTCCAACCCCCGCCCACCTCTCGATCGAAGACAGATTTTGAAGACTCAGTACCTTGGGTATTTGCCTAATTGCAGGAAGGGAAGGGAGTTGGGTTGAATAAAGTGGGGCAAAGGGGTTGGAGGGATGTTGGGGGGAGGGCTGGGGAGAAGTGTGGAACCCTCAGGGATGAGAAAGAGATGGGAAAAGATGATGATCATGCAGTAGAGATGGTTTTCAAGACTAAGCCCTGCATTCAGCAAGTGTTGGCCCCTTCAGTAGAGACCAGAACTGGGAAAGGTCTCTTCACCTGCTGGTGATTCCACAACACAGACCATTTAGAGAATTGTCTTTGGGGCATGGAGTGTATTCTTTAGAAGATCCTCACTATGGGGACTCTACCTTTTAAGGGAGGAAAATGAATTTTGGAAATGGCTAGACACCACCCAAGGTCGAATGTAGAAAATTCAGTGAGTGATCAAACTGAGAATTGTCACATGGGGTAAAAGCAAAGTTGTAAAGGCAAAGGCAAAATGATGCATCTGGTTTGCTTTTCCCAAGAGGACTTTTGCAAAGACAGAGGGGAAAGCTGCTTTCTTGAAAGAATTACCCAAACTCCCAAAAGGACTACTTTGAAGAAGGCAGAATTTTTTTTTTTCAGAAATGGACATTGTAGTGGACTTGTTTAAAATTCATCTCACTCCCCACAGCATAGGTCTTTAAGATCTTTGAAGAAGTTGAGGAAGGAGAATTGTAGGGCTGTTGTGGGGTGACATCTCTCTATCTCTCAGGGGTACCCAGAAGATGATTTTTCTCATTTCCATTCAAACTTAATTGAGTCTGAAGGTGGGTTGTTTCCTCTTGGCCTTCCAATTCTCTGTGATCCATGTGGTTTTGATATTGGGGATTTGAGGAACGACTCTTGGGACTTAGAGGACTGCAGGAATCTTAGAGATCAGCTTCTCTAAATCCTTCCTTTCCCATGATGTTGTCCCCCAAGTTAGAGAAAAGAAACTGAGCCTAGTGAAGTGAAGGCCTTACCCAAAGACACACCAGCAAGCGAGGGAGTCAAGCCAGCCTTGATTCCTCCAGTGTCCTCTCCCTTGAGCTTCTTCCCTGTCTGTGAAGGCTGAGGGGGCAGTTAGCAGAGTTGAGGGATTTATTCATTTTGCTTAGAGACTTCTGAGTTTTCTGGGTACGGACTGATTCACTTTGCTTCATAATTTGATACCAGGCATTGGCCAGCACCCTGGATGGGGGCAGGGAAGCTTGGCTTGGCCGTGACTCACCTTACAGTGTTAGGCAACTGTTTTCTCAATAATCAGTTATATTAGTGAACCTCAAAGCCTCTCAGTCCCGTGGGCCTCCAAGATCAGTCCACTCAGAACATCAGAAATCTGTAGTCCTCTGAGGAACTGCAGAGAGCCAAGGGCTCCTTTATATAAAGTCAGATAGGAAGTATGACTGTTGCTCAAGTGAACTTTTACTCAAGTCTTTTAGAATCTTCTAAGCGCAGAGCACAGGAGCACTGTGGAAAGAGTCCTTGATCACTCTGCCACTGCTCTGCGCTCAGGCCAGTGCGGGGCCACGTGCTGAGATCATCTGCCACGAGGGCCGAGTCCTGTTTGGAATGCAGCCCTGCACGCTCTCAGGGGGCTTCCCAGCTAGCTGAGTCACCAGGTGTGTGGCCAGTGATCTGCTAGTGGTCAGCTAGTGGTCAGTGACACCGGTGACAGAAACCCAGTGCAAATTAGCATAAATGAACACAAATAAAATAGGTTTTCTCCCTCACCTGAAAAGTGGAGAGAGTCTGCCTCCAGGCGTGTTCAGATAGTGCCACTGAGAACTTGCCTGTCTCCACGGTTGGTTCCTCTGTGTTGGATCATTTTTAAGTCCACCTCTCTCTTGAAGGTGACACGTAAGCTCTGTGTTCACTCTGCTCCCACTTTCCAGTGCCGGTGGAAAGCACTTTCCAGCGCTGGCTACTCAGTGTTCAGCAAGAGTTCGGGGCTGATGTCTTTGGTTCAAGCATCCGCCTCTCAGTTAGTGGCGTGACTGGTCTAAAGCCTGGCCACGTGCCATCTGTGGAGCCTGTGGGTTGATGGTAGAGAAAGGTTCAGGATTCCAGAGAGAGACTGGGGGAGGGTTACCAGAGGTAACCCCCGGTCCCCACAGCCTGACGCTGAGTGTCGGACCAATGTGCTGTGGGGACTGAGGGCCCCGAGGAGGCCAAGGTGGAGCAGCAGGGTGTGGGCCGGTGTGAATGTCGGGGGCATTCAGAGACACAGAAGGCTGTGGGCCGACCCTGCCTGGGTGTAACGTCGGCCTAGGGGAGCGGCCGGGCGAGCCCAGGCGGGCGTGACGGGCCCCAGTGCTGTGTGGGAAAATCTGGACTGGAATCAGCCGGCAGTTCAGAGCTCCCACTGCTGTGATTCGCAGGGGCAAAGAGTTAACATGTTGTGAGCCCACGCTCTGTGGGTGCCCGCGGGTGGGACAGGCAGGTACTTGATCCTCACGACAACCCTGTGCAGCCGGTGCCTAGCCACAGGCTGTCAGCACCTCACAGGCGAGAAGCCCGAGTCTCGATGAGGAAAGGGTCTTGTGCGGGGTCACGCAGGTGCGGTGTGGGGAAGCCAGCGTCGCGTGCTGCGGGCGCCAGGCCAAGGGTGAGGAGGGGTCCGCAGAGGCGCCCTAGAGACGGGGGTGGGGGCGGCTGATTTGCCAGGAGCAGAAGCGCCGTGTGACTCCTGGTTCCCAGGATGCGCTCGGCAATGGCTCTGCGCTTTGGGCCACTTGTCTGAGTGAAGACAGTGCGCGGGGTCAGCGGCCCAGCTTGCGGGTCAGCGAGGCCTCAGGGGTCCACACTGGGAGCCGGCGAAGGCCTTAGCCACGGCCTCCCTCGTCTCGCCAGACGGGCGTCCGGGTGCAGGCTGAGACGCCTCTCCCCGGTGACCGGCGGGGACAGAGGGGAATGGGGCGACACTGCGGCCTTCCACGCAGTGCCCCGGCTGCGGGGTGTCTGAGCGGCGGCTCCCACAGCCCCCCGTGCTGCAGCTCGGACGAGGCCTCGCCGTTCCTTGCCGTTTGGTTCACATTGGATTTTGGGTTTTGCTCCTTCAAGAAGTCTTTGTTGTACGTGACGATGCTCTGAGCGCCTCGTGCGGGGCGGGAGGGCGAGGGCTGCTCCCTCCTTCCACCTTCCTTGGTCTCTCCTCCCCGCCCTCCTCTCTCCCCGTCTCTCCTATCAGCCTTGACCGTGCGGCAGGCCGCGGGCGCTGGCCTCAGCTTGGGCGTCCCGAGCCTGCACCCCGGCTCCCGGGAGCTCCCGGCTAGCAGGGGAGGCGGGAAGGAAAACAGATCCGAGCCCGTGGTCAGCCCAGGAAATGACCGGGGCTTTCTGACGCAGCTGAGGGCAGCCAGGCAGGCCTTCAAAGTGGGGTGACAGCTTTTGAGCTGAATCTTAAAGGGTGGGAAAGGAGGAAAAAGGCAGCCGGAAGCAGGCAGGTGACCAGGCGTGGAGGCCGGACAGGGCCTGTCGTGTCTCGGGGACAGCCGGCACCGAGGGCCGGGGAGGGGAGAGCGGAGACGGCGCAGGTCCAGGCTGCGGAGGGCTTCCGAGCCGTGGGACGAGCTTAGACTTCATGTGTGGGCGACACGAAACCACTGAGGTTTTCTTTTAACGATTTCAAACTTTCCCAGACTTTTACTTACTTTTGGGAAAAGTCAATACACATGTGATGAAATCCAGAAGGTAAAAGGTGCGCGACCAGACGTGTGTCCCCCCGGGGGCACCGGCGCCTTGGCAGGGAGCCGTAATAGACAAACGGACACGGCGATGTTAGGTTTTACATAAATGGCACCTGAGTCACGTAGGAGCCACCTCTTGCTGCACAAACCCCCAGCTACAATAATAAGGCAACGAGCAGGTATCACCTTGCTCCTGGGCGTCGCTTAGGCGGGTGACTCAGGTCTCCTGGAGTTGCAGTGAGGGCTGCTGTAAGCTCACTCTGGTGCTGGCAGGAAACCTCAGAGGGGGTGATCCAAGACAGGAAAAAAGGAAGAAGCTGCAATGCTCACGCCTTTGTGGGGTCACAGCTTTTCTGAGGCAAAACTCATGCACCATGCACCCCCCCTTGCAAAGTCATGGGCTGAAGTTTAGTATAGTCACGCAATTGGGCAGCTCTCGTGGTCGATTCCAGGGTCCTCGCGTCACCTCAAGACTTCTTAACTCCTCCCCTGCCAGCCTTCCCAGCTGCTAAGCAACCATTAGCCTACTTTCTATGTCT